CCACACAAGTAAGTACGTGACCAACACACACACACACACAGGCAGGCAGACTGAGCACTTTTGTGACATACGTACATCCAAGCAAACAAACAAGTAGGGGCAAGTAGGCAGGCCGGCAGGGGGGTCATGTGTGTGCAGCTGAGGCTCGCTCATCTGTGCGCTCCCCTGCCCACATGCATTCGGGAGGGGGCCCGGCGTACTCAACAGTCCAAATTTCTTGTATGCGGTCCAAGCACTGCACACCAGCCTGTGTGTATATGGTCACTCATCGACTACACACGTCCATTCGTCTGCCTGTCTGATAACGTACGTACCTTCAGGTGTCTGTGTGGGTGTGTGGATGTGCGAAGGATGCACGAGGCAAAAGCGAAGCAGCAGCAGGAAATGCGCGTACCCATCAATTCCCCTCCCTCCCTCCCTCGCTCCCCATTTGTCGCGCCAACCGCCAACCGGCCGACACCCACACCAGGTCGTGTGTGCGTGTTGGCCTATTGGCCACCCCCAAACAAACCCACGAAGCAACACACACGTGCAACACAACACGCAACAGCCACACACACATGAGTCGACTCGAATTGATTTGGGATTGCTGGTAGCCTGTCTGTCTGTCTGTCTGTGTGGATGCGTGGATGGGTGGCAAAAGCGAAGGAACAAAATTGCAGCAGCGAAACACAAACACACACACACCCTCCCTCCCTCCCTCCCTCCGCCATTCAGTTGCCGTGTGGTGCGATGAAAGAGTAAAAACAAAAAGATAATGACAACAAAAATGAGAGTGCGCGAGAGTGCGGTAGAGAGAGTTTGTGTATGTGTGTGTGGATGGCCCCATATAGATGACATAGACAAGGCTTTGGTTGTCCCATCATCACTTCCCCCCCCCCCACACACACAGGTACACAGATACACCTGTTTGTTGATCTGTCTGTCTGTCTGTCTAGCTACCCGGCCCCCTCAGCGCCTTCAGCCCCGCCACCTCTCCCACTCCCTCAACGCCGACGTGCTGCTCCAAGAAGGCCAGACTGACCCTCATAAAGCTGCGGTCAGCAGCACTCGGTGTCAGGGAGGGCACCAGTCGCCAGGCGTTGGGCAGCAGCACCATCAGCAGCCCCACCAGAAGGCAGCACACAATGACGACGCGCAGCGTCACCTTGGCCCACTCTACACCGGTCTCGCTCACAAGATCCCCGCCACCGCCCCAGCCGCCCTTGGTGCCCTTGCTGTCGTCCGCAGAGGGGTCGTTTGTGCGTGCGGGAGGGGTGGGCGGGCCCTTGTGGGAGATGCACGAGAAGGGCGGGATGATGACCCGGATGTCTGTCGATGGGGTGGTGCTGGTCGACGGGGTTGAGATGGCGGCGGTCAGCTCGTGGTCCTCGGGAATGGTCTCCAGACGGAAGGCCGAGTCGCGAAATGACCGGTAGTGCCGCCGACTCTATGTGACACAGACAGACAGACAGACAGACAGACAGACAAGTGTGTGTGTGAATGTGTGTGTGTGAGAACCAACCAGTGTGTGTGTGAACCAACCAGTGTGTGTGTGGGTGGCTCACTGACGCGGTCAAGTGAGAAGGGGATAATTTCTCGACTACGGTATATTGGTCCATAGTACATGCGCACCAAGCCCACAAAGGTCTTGGATCTTGTCTATCAGTCGTATGTCGGCCTACAGGGGGCCATCAAGGGTCATCCTACGGTCAAAAATGGCAAAATGGTGACATTTTTTTGCGCCTGCGTAGCGGTGTGAGTTTTGCTGACCTGCCCCTCTCCTTGTGCACGTGTTTTGCCAGCTCAAGGGTGCACCTGACTCATGCGTCGGATGGGCCGGGCCGTACACACAGATGGTGTGGCGTGCCTGCAGAGATGACACTCACACATAGAGAAAAGTTCCGCTGCTCGTCAGAAAAGTTCCGCTCGACGGCTGTGTGTGCCCTGTGCGGTCAATCTGGATGCCCTGGTCAATCTGCCGCCCCGAAATCGCCTGCACACGCACTGGTCGCTGCGCTGCACATGGGTCGCAACACCCCCCACACACTTGGGTGTCTGTGAGCCCACCCAAACGCACCGAGCGCAGGGGCCAGCTGCAGCATAGCAAAGCCCTCATCGAGAGCAGGCCTCTGGCGCCCGAATGAGCCTCCGATGCATCCACCTCCCACACACACTGGGCGGCCATCGGCGCATCCACACACAGTTACGGCTCAAGCACACGAAGGAGAGCATCCCAGGAGACCGTCTATTAACGAATAGTGACCTTTTCGTAATGAAGTCGATGGTAAGTTTGTGCGTCGCCAGGACCGGGTCAACAGACTTGGCGCAATGCGGCCATCTCTGACACACACAGACACAAAGGCCAATCAGCAGCGGAGATTCGCCCTTCTGGCTGCTCCTGACTGCGTGTATGGCCTTTCTGTGAGCCTCTCTGCGGAGATCTGCCCCGTTTGGGCGCGTGCCTTTCCTCCCAGCACTTCTAAGCTCGCAGGGTTTAAAACCCCACACCCTAAACCCTATACCTAAACCCTAATTATGCTGTGTAGGGTTTGCGAATTTCGTGAATGCGCGTGTGGAGGGGTGCGCAGCACGCAGGCAGGCACCTTGCCACACACAGATGTGCGCAGGGGTGGGCTGTGTATGCGGTTGTGCAGCAAGGTGCGCACTCACAAACAGACGATGAGCTAATTTGCACTGGTTTGAAATGATGACGTATGGGCACTGTCCAGTCCACACAATGATGCAACGATGCATCACCTCACTCCCCCGCCCCCCCGACCTGTCTGTCTGTCGAGCAGCCTATACACTCATACGATTACGTGTGTATAGGCCAAGTGAGCGTCAGCTGAATCCTCTCGCTCTCAGTTGTGCCTGCGTTCATTCCCCGGCCCCACTCTCTCTCTCTCTCTGTCTCTCTTTATTCACAC